ATTGACCGAGCAAAGCTACTAGAGGGCCATTTGCGCTAGCCGTCCCTTAGTTTGAAGTGATGGACTAGAGGAAAAACCGTTAGTCAACACTACTCACCGCCAACTCTTGAGCTACTCTTTACCAACGAACAGTGGGATTGACCGAGCAAAGCTACTAGAGGGCCATTTGCGCTAGCCGTCCCTTAGTTTGAAGTGATGGACTAGAGGAAAAACCGTTAGTCAACACTACTCACCGCCAACTCTTGAGCTACTCTTTACCAACGAACAGTGGGATTGACCGAGCAAAGCTACTAGAGGGCCATTTGCGCTAGCCGTCCCCTAAGTTTGAAGTGATGGACTAGAGGAAAAACCGTTAGTCAACACTACCCACCGCCAACTCTTGAGCTGCTCTTTACCAACGAATAGTGGGATTGACCGTAACGTTATAACGCCTCCACCGGTGAAAGGGCAAATATGTTCGGGAACGGGATTTGAACCCGCGATCCTCAAATTTCGAGTCGAGTGCCCTAACCCCATGCCGGGCCATAAATTTTACGTACAGCACTTTGTATATTAGCAGTTTAAGATTTTATCACGTAATTACTGTATTAGAGGTCGCTTAGACTGTGTTTTAAGTTTAGTAATTAAGAGATAAACGTATAACATGTTTAGAAAGATTGTATTTGTTTGATCTTGCGTGATTTCTACGTATCACGACTCACTCGTGTTATAAAAAAGTAGTTTTACAATGTCAAGTTTCAATGGCTCTTGAAACAGTATAAAGTTGTTTTTTTTTATTTTCATTTCGCCTATAAGCGTTTTAAAACTGTTTGGCTCAGTGCCGAGCAAACAAGCACAATGCTACAAGTAACAAAGCCCAGCTCACGAGACCGGAAAGGACACGAAAAGCTGCACGAGCACACCGTAGCATGCAGACGAGATTGTATCACTGGAGTAATTAAACGTTCTGTTGGGAACTGCCTACTGCAGACTCGGAAATGTCAGTGTATGTGAGTGTAACCATGACAACAGCTAGAGTTGCACCCTCCTCCGAGCGGTGTTGTGACGGGTAACGAGGAAGCAGCGCTAACAGCGGTGAAAAACTGGAGCAATTTTGCTAACTAAAAAAAACAAAAAACAAAAAAAAAAATACTACTTTATTAGAAAACTTGTCTACGGATGATTAAACATGCTTAAAAGCAGATAATTAGATTTAATCTTTCTGCACGAGTCGTTCACGAACAGAAACGTTCTCGTTTATGAAAACTTTACAAAAAATTATCGAAGTTTCGTGATTTCTTTTTCAAAACTCATGTTTGTTATGCTAAAATAACATTTGTAATGTGCTATCACTTTGCTGTGCCCCCCCCCCCCCGGGGCCACGGTTCAATTTTCGGGGGTTTTAAAGCATAAATTTGGTGTTCCTTCACCGGGGGG